GACCCCCAGCTGCAAAGGGGAATCCCCCCATCTCACCCCATCCGACTGTTGTGGCTCACCAGCAGGGCCGGCAGAAGATTCGGACAGTGGGGAGGAAGATGGGCCAGTCCTGGAGTCTGGGGAAGGCTCTGAGGAGGGCTCTGTGTCAGAGGCAGAGAGGGGGCCAGGACAGTCTGACAGTTATCAGCTGCCTTCGGAGTCAGACATCAGTGAGGCAGAAGAACAGCTGGAGCCTGATCCCAGTGTGCGCATGCACAGAGTTGCCAGACAAAGAGAACAGCTAAAGGGCAGGGGTCGACTTGGGAGTGAGGCCACAGGTGGACGATGAAGGGCCCCTCCCAGAGGACATAAAAGTGGAACGAAAGGGGAGTAGAGTTTGCAGGAGGCAATTAGTTTGTTTCATTGGTTCGGGACTCTCTGAGGCTCCTTACTAAGTTCTGCAGATATCGGCCTGGCAGCTCTCCAAGCCAGATAAGGTCTGTGACCGTAAATCCTCCCTTGAAAGACTTTGCTGTATGTGAATGAGCAGAATTCACAGTCAATTAATCAAAGGGGTTTTTGTTGGGACCAGGAGTTTGTTTCATGCTCTTGGGAAGCCTCGGCCAGAACACACCTGTCTGGCTTCTCAAAGATGGCCCACCCCTCTTTCTCACCTTTGAAGGAAGCCAGCATACACTGGAGATAGGCATGCCTGACAGCAGACGTGCAGGCCTTAAGGCTGAATGCTTTCTTGAACCATTCCACCAGCGTTTTGGGGACTTCCGTGACGAATCGGCTGCACCAGAGAGCAAGGATGGAAATGGCATGTACCAGAGTGCCTTCGTGGACTGCAAAAAGAGAAAGCGCTCTTTAGAGAGGGAGAAAAGAAAGAAAATGCGGTACCATAGAATTATAGCATGGGAAGGAACACCACGAACCAGGTGTAGACCAAACTCACTGCAATATGTAGGAAAACCAATTCTATTTTGTTTTGTTTATATCCCACCCCAGAAAAGGAGAGAGGGAAGGAAGGAAGGAGAAAGAAAGTTAAGAGAAGGGAAAAGGAGAGAAGAGAAGAAAAGGAAGGAGAAAGGGAAGAGGAGAGAGGGAAGGAAGGAAGGAGAAAGAGAAGAGAAGTTAAGAGAAGAGAAGGGAAGGAAGGAAAAAAGAGAAGAGGAGAGAGGAAAGGAAGGAAGGAGAAAGAGAAGAGGAGAGAGGGAGGGAAGGAAGGAAGGAAAGAGGAGAGGGAAGGAAGGAGAAAGAGGAGAGGGAAGGAGAAAGAGAAGAGAAGTTAAGAGAAGTTAAGAGAAGGGAAGGGAAGGAAGGAAGGAGAAAGAGAAGAGGAGAGAGGGAGAAAGAGAAGGAAGGAAAGAGGAGAGGGAAAGGATAAAGAGAAGAGGGAAGGAGAAAGAGAAGAGAAGTTAAGAGAAGTTAAGAGAAGGGAAGGGAAGGAAGGAAGGAGAAAGAGAAGAGGAGAGAGGGAGAAAGGGGAGGAAGGAAAGAGGAGAGGGAAAGAAGGAGAAAGAGAAGAGGAGGGAAAGGAAAGGAGAAAGAGGAG